TCACTCACTCACACACACACACACACACACACACACACACTCTCACGCACACACCACACGCACGCACACTCACACACTCTCACACACACACACACTCACTCACACACATTAACAATTTATTTAAGTCCACTTAAAAAAAATAACTTACAGGGACATAAATATTATAGATGCAGTTAGATACATGTACAAAATCATGGGCCAATGGCATGCAACAGGTCTTCACAATAAGCATATCACTCCGTTGTTATGGGTATAAATAACAGCGTCTCCGCCATATATGACGGCTGCCTATGATAGAGGACAAAGCACAGTACTTTGCTAAGCGTTTAGCCATCTTTTTGGGCATCCCAAGTTGTTGAAGCCCTCTTACAATCAGCCTGTGTGTGTGTCCTAAGCTGCCAAATATAAAAACAAGTAATCGGCCTCTATAACCTATCTCTGAAATGGTATTTAGGTATTTTACACACACTCTCACACACACACACACACACACACACACAATTATCACATGTTCTGAAAAATAAGTCTTACCAGGTAAATTGATTCAAAACATGTAATACTTTCTCAATGACACACACACACCTGCAGCATTATTCATGTGTCTCTCAGGCCGAAAGTCCAACATGGAGGAGGTTCAAGACGAGCTGATGCACAGACTGACTCTGGGCCGCAGTGCTCAGAAGAAGTTCCAGGCTCCGTCTCGCTCCAGCAGCCTGCCGGCGGTCAACATCACGTACGACTCCACGCCGGACGAGGTGAAAGCCTGGCTGCAGCTCAAAGGCTTCAGCGAAGTGTGAGTGACCCGTTCATCCGCTCTGCTGTAGAGCATCATGGGAGATTAACAGTGATGGTCTGAGCTGATGTGGTTTGGTCTGCAGGACCATCAACAGTCTGGGTGTGCTGACCGGTGCTCAGCTCTTCTCTCTGAACAAAGACGAGCTGAAGACCGTCTGTCCTGATGACGGCGCTCGAGTCTACAGCCAGATCATCGTCCAGAAAGCCGCTCTCGAGGTGAGTCGACTTCCTCCGCTTCTCCTCACAGATCCTTCCTTATTTTTCTCTTCATTCCTCTTTAAACTCTTCTGTCATAATCCAAATGTCTCGGACCGGATCACATCACACTGACCGTGCAATTCTGGATCCATCCATAAAATAATACTGTAATAGTGCTCCCCGAATTGAATCTGGAGTCTCCAGACAGCTGGTGATAATAATAATTAATTTATAATTTATGCATTTAGCAGACGCTTTTATCCAAAGCGACTTACAGTGCATTCAGGCTATACATTTTTTACCAGTATGTGTGTTCCCTGGGAATTTAACCTACGACCTTTTGTGCTGCTAACGCAATGCTCTACCACTGAGCCACAGGAACACTAATAAGGTGATAAGTTGCTCAACTCTGTAGTGTCGCTTTGGTTTTTCTGTGGTGTTTTTGCTGTCTGCAGGTTTTCTTCTGACGCTCCCATGATCTTCACATGTAATCCACGTTCCTCTGAAGGTACTTTAGTATCATAGCGAGGCGGCTTTGCTCTGTTTAGTTAACACATCATTCACCGCACATGCACATAACCCGGCTAGGTTGCACCAGTTCTTACTTAAAGGGATAGTTCACAAACCTGTACGAGTTTATTTCTTAAAGAATATATTTTGAAGAACGTTGGTATAGAAAGAGTATATTTTGGATTTGATCCCCAACATCCTTCGAAATAATTTCCTTTGTGCTCAACAGAAGATAGAAACTCATACAGGTTTGAGGGTGAGTAAATGATGACAGAATTTTCATTTTTGGGTGAACTGTCCCTTTAAATTGTAATATAAAGTCCACACTTAGCTAGCTCGTAACTAACTCTGTACTAATAATAATAATAGTGTCATTATTCAATTCAATTTTTGTTCTCATTTGATAGTGTCAGTGCAGTTAAATCAATAATAAAAAAAGAAATTATTGATTTAACTGCACTGCAAATTAAAAAAAATAAAACATAAGCATTTGTAGGGCTGGGCGATACAACGATAATTATCGCGATGTAATTTTCCCTCGATAAAACGGTATGAAGAGTTCGATATAAAGTTTACTTATAATGTTTCCGCCAAAAGCGGAACAAATCATTTATACTAAATGTATTTTTCATACAAATACCTAGAAACCATAGTAATTTTTACCATGGTATTGAGGTGCTATATGTGTGGTTTTAACTGTGGTTATCATGATCTAAATGTATGCTACTATGGAAAACCAATGGTTAATTTTAATAAAACTCAGTCAGAATAATTAAATTTCACTATATAAAAATGAGGTTGTTACAGTTTCTACAGATGTTGCTGTTTTTGATAATGAACATAAATTTACATCTGCATCCTAACTCAAGCTACTGTCAAATGTATATTTCTAAGAGACAAAATACATAAAATTATTAATATTGCAGCTGCACTGCAAACTGTGCTGAAGATATGCATCATCAAATTCAGGAACACAAACCTAATTCATGATTTGAAACAATATCACTCATTAGAACATGCAGATACCAAGAAATTAATTAACATTTATTTTGTTTTTGTTGGAAAAATGACTGGAAGAGTGTAAAGAATTCAAAAACGTGAAGTGTTTGTCATGTTCTGAGCATAAAGAGTCGTTTAAAACCACAATTAACCATCTGGTTTCTACATCTTTCACTTAGGAGCAAAAATCTGCCTTAAAAGAAATAAAGATTTAAAAATTATCGTGATAATTATCGATATCGGTTGATATGAAAAATGTTATCGTGATAATTGTTTGTGCTGTATCGCCCAGCCCTAAGCATTTGTTTAATTTGATTGATCTTATGATGCACATCGACTGAAGTCGATGCTCTGACCTGTAAATATTTAGTTTATGCATAGTTACGTTTAATGGTCCAATGCAAAAATATTTAGTAACTTGGCGCACATTTATGCCACAACTAGGTTTAGTTTTAACTTGCATGCAGCTGGTGCAAACGACCCCTGATGATCCTGACACAGAACCGCTCGTTACAGCTCATATTAATATTTCAACAGCTCCATTTATCTGATGGTCTGCATTTCATTGAATCTGTTCGAAATAAGAGCGAGCGCACATTTTAATAGATGCTCGTGTTGTTTAGTGGCTTCTGTCTGCTGTTTCCAGTCATAGCTAGAGAATAGATGCTTTCCCAGAATCCCTCAAGCGCCCCTTTACACATCCATCATCGTTAGTTTAGAGCATCTGATGAAGAACCTTCATGAACCTCATCCTCATTCACTCGTTTCTGCTCTTCCTCTCTCTGTCTCTCCAGCTTGTTTAAATGAGCGTTTCGTGAGATGTAGGGCTGGGTTGGAAATACTGATTTCTCGATTTTGATGAACCGATATTGATTCTTAAATCCCAAGAATCGATCTATGCTGTTTTCTGTTAATGCATGAACAAACCTTATTTGTAGCACCTCCCATCCGATAAATCGCAATAAGCTTTGTGCTTAGTTACATTTGATAGGAAAGTATCTGCTTTCAAATGTCAATTTTATCGTAAAATTCAAACAATAAATGCTGACAGATCGCTGTAGTGAACCGATTATCTCTTCCTCTTTACTACTAGTTATAGCAGCAAATAAACATGAATGAACTTCAGAAGGAAATAGAGAAAAGATCTGAGAAAGCAGCATGCATGTTTATCTCACCGCGCAGTGTCAGTGCTCTAAACAAGTGATCGCGACACCTGACCTAATGAATAAGATCAGAATGAACATTTATTTATCTGTATCAAATGTTATTCACTGTCATTTTTCATTCACAATCATTTCACTGTAATGCCAAAGTTCTTAATATTCAAAGTCGCAGTCGTGCTGTCAGTGCGATTAAATAAATATTTAACATCGTGAAAGTCATTTTAAACACCAACGCACACTGCTCTTACGAAAATTAACCATGGTTTTACTACAAATAAAGCCCAAGTAATAGTTATACCATAGTAACCACAAATTAATCATGGTTTTGCTACACTAACCATAGTTTAACCATGGTATTTGTTGTAAATTTGTGGTTATACAAACCGTAATCCGCCAAAAAACCATGGATACTACACTTTTACTATAGTAAAACCATGGCTAATTTTTGTAAGGGTGCTTATCAGTCAAATTGATGTAAAAATGTAAATTCAACAAGTATGAAATATGATCAGTAAGAGAAAAACACTGTTAATGAGAAGACGAGCGCTGGACTGCAGCAGGTTAGTGTGGAAATATATTTATTTATTATTCAGAAGACGTGTTTGGAATGGAAATATATTTATAGGGACATTTCAGCAGGTTGAAGATAATTCATGTTAATGCAGAGAATATGATTAATTGCTTTTAAAAACATTTGCCAGCCCTAAAATGTAGTAAAAATCTATGTTCTCATGAGAAACTGTAGCTATACTAAGTAGAACGTGGAAGTAGTTGTGCAAGTAGTCCATTATATCAATAAAGAAATTATTATATTAAAAATTGTCTTTGATCTTTCAAGCTGTTTAATGCCACTCAGCAGGTGTTGCATGCTTCAGTCCAAAAGAAGTCAAATAAAAAGCGCCCATCCATTTAAAAAAATGTCTCACACGGCTCCGAGGGGTGAACAACGGCCTCCTGTAGCGAATCGATGCGTTTTTGTAAGAAAAATATCCATATTCAAAACGTAATAATCACTTTAATGTAGCTTGCGCCAACAGTCCTACACGGAAGCAGTTCCGGGAG